TACACTCGGTTTTTGATGATTCGAGTTGACCATCAAGCATATTTACGGTGCTTCTTCATAGGTCTTTTCAAGGATCTTCCACATTTGTGCAGCGGTTTGGCGAGTGTGCAATCCTGAAAAGATCATCTCGTTAAGGGCGGATAAGATGATATTCTTGGCAATACAATCATCTTGGATTACGTTAGCAATATCGGTTTCTGTTCAATAACATTCCAAGCATTTATACTAACGAGATTCAATGAAGATTTTCATCCTTACTTTCCGGAATAGATAATCTGTTCCACACAACGGTGGAGGTCTATCAATGTACGCTCCCTCGAGAAAATGCCATGGATCGAAGTAACTTGAGTAACTTTCAAGCACCTCGCTCGATGCCAATTGTTAGAAAAGTAGTTTTAAATCAAGAGGGGGTGAATTGATTTTTGAAAGTTTTTCGCAATACACAGATTATCTAATTCGAAAATTAAGTTTCTAAAAATCTTTTTGAATTACCAAGCAATCAAACAATATAAGCGCAGCAACTGAAATTAAAGAGAGAAAGGTTAGGAAAGATTTCACCGGTAATTTTATACTTGGTTCACCCAATACCAGGGCTACGTCCAGTCTCCGACCAAATTCCAGTTGGGTTCCACTAGAATAGATGTTTTACGAGACTCACCCTCTTACACCTATTCTAACTCTCCACCAAGAACCAAATTCCAGCTCTTGGAAACCTCTGCAACCAAATTCCAGCCACGAGAGAAACCGGTGCTCAAATTCCGGGCACCACACACAAGAACCAAATTCCAGCTCTTGCTTTAACCTTTCCACCAAGAACCAAATTCCAGTTCTTGGCAACTTTCTACAACAGTTAGAGAAAACTTGTACCCAAATTCCAGGTACAAAACAGTACAAATGAATGAATAGAAATTTAAAAGAAGAAACAAAGAAAGCTCAAACCGGATTACACCAATCCACGATCAGTTTCTTCTTCAAAGAAATGCAAAGTGCCTCAAGAAAGATTTCAAAAGAAGTTCACAAAAGCAGTTGTGTATCTTTCTTGAAAAATGCTAATAGTTGTTTGTATTGATTGCTTGAATTGTGTAAAAGCTGATATTCAATCTCTGTTTAAAAGTTTCAAGCAATTCTGTTTATAAAAGAGTATTTTCAAATCTGCTGCATTAATTAATCTGTTGAAAGTTTGTTTTAATCTGTTGAAATAGCAGTTATAATCTGTTAAAAGTCCTTTCAACCCATTAATGCATTCTTGATCTTTAACGAGAAAATGTTTTAGTTGATACAACCATGTTTATATCGGTTAAAACGTTTTACAAACATTTTCTAAGTATAAAACAATCGATTGAATCGCGTATTAATCGATTGATTTGTTTAAAAACCTTCTTATAAAACTTTCCAAGTTATTTTAGGCTGATATAAAGTCGTTTCAATCGATTGAAAAAGCTGCACATATATTTTCAAGTCATTTTAATCGATTGAAAGTTTGTTTTAATCGATTGAAAAGATTTTCTAAGTTATTTTAATCGATTGAAATACGTTTTAATCGATTGAAACAGATCTGATCGGTCATAATTCAATTCGATCGATCATATCCAACTTCGATCGGTCATAATCTCATTCTGATCGATCATCCTGACATCAAAGTAATTTTAATCGATTGAAACGTGTTTTAATCGATTAAAATAGTTCGATCGCTCATATTTAAGATCTGATCGATTATAATGCATTCGACCTATTATATTCGAATTCTAATCGGTCATAAAGAGTTTTAATCGATTAAAAGGTTTTTGTATCAATTAAAATGCTTGTGAAAACACTTCTATAAACATTCTAAGTGTTTTAAACGTTTCTTTAAAAAACTATATCAGTTAAAACCATTGTTAAGAAGGTTCTTTGACAAAATGCTTTTGTTTGATTTGTTTAAAACTATTTTTGAGGCATTTTGCAAATTGAGTGAAGAAGCTTTATGCGGTGGAAAAGGTAAAGTGGTTTTACCTAAGCTTTACGTTAAGACACACTAAGTCTTCGACTCCATTCTTACGAGTGACTTGTTTGACTGCTGCAGAGTTGACCCTTGACTTTATCTTTGACTTCATCAAATCAATGAGATCTTTGCTAGGATCACTTTCACAACCAGCTTTGCTCTATTGTGATAACAACTCTGCTATTCAGATTGTCTCCAATCATGTTTTTTACGAATGCACCAAGCATATTGACATTGACTGTCATATTGTGCGTGAACAACTCAATAATGGTACTCTGAAGCTTCTACCAGTTTCCTCATCCATGCAAATTGCTGATATTCTAACCAAAGCTCTTCTCCCTTCGTTTGTATTCCAAGCTGGGAATGATAAATATCCATTCCCAGCTTGAGGGGGCTCTTATCCATAATTTGTTGCGTAGTCTGCTACGTAGTTTGTTATGCATGAAGTCCACCTTTACGTAGTATGTTATGTAGTTTGTTATACATGAGGTCCACCCCATTAGGTTATTTTAGCTTTTTTGTTTTCGTTGTATATATACATTTCTAATTCAATAATATAGAATGAGAAAAACTGTTTTGATCATTTTCTATATCTCCATGTATTATCTCACGATTTTATTTTTCCTTCATTATGGGTGCCAAGTTATTTGAGAAACACTAATTTGATTTGATTCGTATTTTATATTAAACTAAAACTAGACTAACTTTGTTTTTTTAAAGTGAAACAAATCGAATTGGGAACATTCGTACTCATTCAAAGGTGCAGTATCTAATGACATAAAGGGGACAATATTTGAACAAAATAAATAAATATACAATTAATTATGTAAAGGCTTAAATACTAGGTAGTTTCTTTAATATACCAATTTTTTAATCGTGATTTGTTTTATATTATCAAGTTATTATCATTAAAACGTGAAGAGGAATGGAAAAAACTTTATACTAAAAAAAAAAATCGTTGACCCAAACTAATGAAGAGATTTACATCACATAGAAATAAAGAATATTTTAAAAATTTCCACAACGGGTATTAGAACCCGAAATTCAGTAGTCGAATTTATACAATTGTGCTACTCCTGATTGTGTGATTGATTGATGCTTACATTAATTAAACTTCAATTTTTGCTTAATTACATTTAATTAATAATGTATAGATTATTGATAAAAGAGTAATGTATTAGTAATATTTATCACTTATTTCCAACTATACATTTAATGCTTTTTATAACACGTGTAACCTCCGTTAGATGAAGAAAACTCAAGGATAAAAAAAATAAAATAAAATTCCCAGAATAAAATAAAAGACATATGTCCCATTTTTTGGTCCCTCGACTTTATCTAATACGGCTATAAATTTTGTTGGTACAGTATTACTAATTATTTCCTTTGGGCCCAAGGGGTATTGGATTCATAGCAATTGATTCTATTAAAGCCCATAATATATTTTCATATAATCTGATGGGCTTAGATTTTGAAACAATATAAATAGTTTCCGTTAAAAGTGCATAATTATTAGGTTTTGGTGCTTTCCATCTGCATATTTCTTGTGTTATTCTTCAATTTTAGAGATTCACATGAATAATATTTCATCCATTTAATAGAATACAAATTACTAAATCAAAATTTTAAATTTGATTAGAAAACAACATAAATTGTATCTACGATACTGCATTTAAATTTTGTCCCTTTTCATTTTTATTTAAAAATTATGCTTTTGTTAGGAAACGAAACATAGTTTCATTTTCACAGCATTTTGCCCACTGTGAAACAGTCTGCAAATATGATCCAGGATTTCTGATAATGGTTTACATCCTCACTTGGGTGGCTCCTTTCTTAGCAAGCCCAATCATGGTTTGGATGATACCATAAGAAAGTGAAAAGAAAAAAAAAATAAAGACAAGTGATTTATAAACAATTTAATTATTTCTAAACATTTATTCAATAATTATTTTTAATAATAAAATAATAAACAAAATTATTATTATTATTATGATAAAATTAATAAAAAATGTATTGTTATTCCTTATATATATTTCCTTTTATAAAAAAGTGATTATATTTAAAAAGTAAAAAGAAAAAAAATAATATTGAAAAAAATAATTATACAAAAAATGTTAACATAATATGTATCATATATAATAGTGAAAACACATTTGTTAAAACGTTTGTTTCTATATTTTTTATAATTTATTTCTCTTAAACTATTATTTTAAAATTTATTTTATGTTATTTTTACTATTTAAATATATCATTTTTCTTTCTTATATTTTTATAAACTTTTAAATATATAAATGTTTCTTCTTTAACGGTTAATACCCTCTATATATATAGTTATATAAGTTGAAATAGGCGGTAAAACACATGATAATACTTTCTCCAGAATTAATTTCTTTTAAATTTTATTTTGTTTTTTCTCTCCACTTTGTAAATATATATTTTTTTTATTAATTAGATGTGATATTTTTTCTGTCTTATATTTGATTATTTGTTATATATATATTGAAAGAGATTGATTCCTTGATAAAGGAAGATATATATATAATGGAAAGGTATATATGAATGATATGATATTTATGTAGCAACATAGAAATCGGTGTTGTGTTTGCAGGGGTGGTTAGATGACAAAAATGTTTGAAGAAATAAGCTACAAAATTGCAGTGATTGGAATAGTGGTAGGAGGAAGGAGTTAAAAAATGGTTGTTAGCAAATTGAGGTAGCTAGCAAAGGCACATGTTTGTTTCCAAGTTAGACGGATGAATGGCTCCAATGGGAAGAAAAAGGGACATCGAAAGTCGCCTCTGGATCCCACTACAATGTGTCAAAGGGGCTCTAATTCTGCTATACCCTACCTGTGGGCAATCACTTCATTAGATGGTACACCTAATTAATCTATCTGTATATATATATATATATGCATGGAAACACTACGACCTCCTCAACTTCCTATCCAAAAGTACAGAGACTCCAAAAACTTTTTGTTTGCATAATTTTATTCGCTCTCCAATTATTCGTGGAAAAGTTATCTGTGACCATAAAAGCTAGCTGTATGGGAATTCAACAAGCATGACCCAGCCAGCAGTTTCCCTTTCTCCCTCTCCACCATATCATGCATGGGAAAACACAAAGCAAACCCCCCCAGGGCTTCAACTTTATGCTACTTTACAAAAGGTCAAAAAGTTCCAATTTCCCAAAAGCAATTCTTTATCAGACACCATTCATTCACATATTCATAAAGTAGCATTACAATCAATCCCTTTAATCACAATGACCATTACATTAAAAAGAACGACATTAAGATCAAGCTCAATTTTCACAACTTTTTATGCTCCACAATTCTGTACACACAAAAAACAAGCCAAGGTACAGAGTGAGATCATGCATAGTCAAAATGAATGCCTTTTACCCCCCCCATGGAATTTGAGGGAAATAAAAGGACAATATATTCCAAACATAGTATGGTGTTTTGTATTTTATGACAATTCACGATGTCATAATTTCAAATCAAAACCAAAATTCAAATAGCATTCCAGTAAGAGTGTTTGGCTACATGAGTTGCGTTGAAAATAATAAAGTGTACACATTTGCGTGCAAGTATCAATACATGAACAACAATGGTGACAAAGAAAAGTAGTGCTGTGTGAGCTTTGAGCACTGCGATTATGTCATTCGTGTTCCCCAATGCCCCTTGCTATGTGCAGACCCTTTTTGTCTTCTATTCTGAATCAATCTTATTCTGATGCTGTCGTCTCTTCCAAATCCCTGAGCTTATGTAGAAAACAAGGCAAAATAAAAAAATGTTAAACAAAAGAGACCCCAACAAAATTCCTTTGTTAGTAATTAAATAATCATTGATTCCCATCATTGCAAATTATCAAGCGTATAATAACAAATTAAAAGCTTACTCTCGGTAACACTGCAGTGATGCCTGCTGGGACAATGCACAGTTGCTCAAACCCCCACCTGCATATCTTTGCTTCCTAACTAAGCATTCACATTCTTTCGCCCAAAATGCGCAATTGTAACGTTTAAACTCGTGATCAACATTCATTATCCTTAATGAAAAAATTAATTACCTTATCCTTGAAGAACTGTAACTATTAATGATGGGAGTTTTGTTATGTTTTTCTTCGTCTCTGCCAACACCGAAACTAAAGCAATAGAAAAGGAAGCATCTTGTACATTGTTTCTTGGATTGTGCAGGAAATTAGGGTTTCAGGTATCAAATGAGATCGATAATAAAGATAGGGAAAAATTAAAGTAGTCCATCGAAAAACTTACAAGGTTCAGCAGCACCCACAAGAAAATACAGGCATACTTGTAAAAGTTGATTCCATTCTGTATCGTTAATGCTCAGATCTATTCATTTTTAATTACGAATTGATACGAAAACGAATGACAAAGCAAACAGAAAAAGTGTAGATCTGTGCGTGTGACATTACTGAACCCATCCATAGAAGGAAGGAAATGCTACCCACGATGACAAGAATAGATTCAAGGATCTATCAGTTTAATTTTCAACATAGATGAAACAAAAGCACATGAATGGTAAATGCTGAAGAGGCTTTCGTTGTTTCTTAGAAGAAAGTGAATTAAGAAACAAATTTATGACAACCAGAAGCACAAGAATCCAATAAAGAGGGCGGAGTCTACAAGGCTCTTGAGTCATATGCATGTTGGTGACACATGGCACATTTAATTAAATTAAGCCTCGATTTGACCACACGGTTTGACAATGGTGAAATGACTAATAGTAATAATACTAACAAAAGGGGATCGTCCACTTGCTTCGTCTTCTAAGACTGAAGAACCAGCTAAGTGATAGAGATTAGAGACAGAACATAGGCCAGGAAACCCTAAAGAGAGGGTGAGAGAGGAATTAGGTAGAGAGAGAAAGAACAAATTGAAAAGGGGGGAGGAGGATGGACTTGAAAAAGAGGAGAATGTCTAACTGAGTTCAAAGGTGGCCAGATCTGAGAAAACATGGCAGAGACAGACAGATCGGATACTGGAAAACATAATTGGGAGAAGATCTGGGGCTAATGATGATGAAGAAAAGTAGTTACACCCTGACAACAAAAACACCATCATAACTTGATCAGAGAAAAAGAAGGAAACGAAAAGGAGGTAATGATGAAAACCTTTTGCAAGTGAAAACCAGGTCAAAATGCTTCATCATTACACCAATCTGCAAACTTCCACCATCTTTAATTCATCCAAAAACCCAACCCCACGACTCAGATCTACCTATATTAAAGAAAAAAACAAAACTTTAACACTAATCCATAAATCCCAAAAAACATAGAGGAGGATACCAAGCAAACCTATAAAGCATTTCATCGGCAGATGCTACAACACATGTTATGGTCCTATGTTGCCACTGCTCGATCTCGAGGAAATAATATCTGTTGAGAAACACGAGTCTCTGAATAAATCCACATATTTCTAGCTCTCAGCCAGAAGATACCTTGGTTTTGGCCGGAAAATTAATTTGGAAGCATATAATTGGGGGGAATGAAGCCTGGTCCGACAACACTACACATTCCTTGAGCACAAGCATAACACTCTACAAAGAGAGGGATGCAAATACACAAAGATCAAGACGAAGGGTCCTCGAGCCAGACAACATTCCCCTCAAAAGACAAAGCTTCCCAAATGGGCCTTGTTCTTGAACAGGCTAAGAAAGAGAGGAAAGAAAGAGAGAGGGGGGCTTTGTTTTCATGGCTCCCTCACTACCACTACTCTCTTTTCACTCTGTGTCCCCCATGAGTCCCGGCTATCTTCAAGGGGGGTCTGAGAGAGACATACAGAGAGAGAAGATAGTGAGGTTGTGATGATGAATGGGTGAATGAGAATGATATGAGAAAGAAGAGAGGGGGTTTATAACAAGAGTAAAAATAAAGGAGGAGAAGAAATGCAACGTCAAAAAAGACAAAAACTTGGTGCAGGTAGACCCTACCAGCTGCCTTCTCACTTCCAGAAATGACCACGACCCCATGCACCCTTCTTAATTTCCAAAATTACTACTTTCTAATATTAATCACAAATATTTCTTTTTCAATTTTAATTATAATTTCCGCGTGATGAAGACCAATAAATGAATATCTAATTTTTTAAAATATATTATTACTATTTAATTATATTTGTAGTCTTTGTATTTTTTTTTACATTTTTTTTCATTCTTATATTTTAAAATTGATAAATTTAATAATTCATCTTTTCAAATGTCTTATTTTATTTTCAATTTTTTAAATATTATAAAATTAGTAAATAGAATTATTAAATTAAAAATTTAATAGTAAAAGTTTATGTAAAAGATGATTAAAAACAGAATAAATTTACATTTTTATGAAATTAAAGAACTAATTAATGAATTTTTAAGTATAGAGATACAAATTAAATTTAAAAAAAAAACATAATTGTGATAGAGGTATATTTATCATTTTTGGTAGATGAATTGTGAATGGTGGTGAAGTCATGGATATCGACCGTTGGATATGGCAGATGATGTGTTATGTTATGTTGTGTCCTGGTACAACCATTGACTGTACCTATAGTATAATAGTAGTACTACACTGCCCTTGCACAGAACCCAGACCGACCATTTGATTTTGTGAAATTGAGCGTGATGTGGATGATTGCGTCATCCAAAGGGGATCTACCTGCACCCTCACATCCTAGCTTTGCATTCAATTCAATGTTTTCAGATATAAACAAACTCAAATACTAATCACACACACACACACACATTGATTATGGACCGTAGGATTTTGGGAAAACCAAGGTGCCAATTCAGTCACTGGAGGAACATGCAATGCCAACTTTTAATAAAGTGATAGGAGTTATAAATTCTCTTTATTATGTCAATCAACGGTTAAATATATTCATAAATGTACCAACGTTAAAGTCATCATTTATGAATAATTATGGTGATACACATATGAAAAAAGATAAAATAAAACGGTGAATTTAACTAGAATTTATTAATGTTATTATTTTTATATTAAAGTATATTGTTATAATTTATTATTATAATTTTTTATCTAAAAAGATGCTGTCCTAATCTCATCATATTATTAGAATTTTTTTTATTTTGAATTTTTATTTATTTTTTGGTTTTTAATAAATTTTAGTAAATTAAAAAAAACATATATATATATATATATAGAATCAATTTTTATGTTTTTATTTTTATTTTTTTATATTTTTAGTTTTTAATAAATTTTAATAAATTAAAAAATAATATATATAAACTATCTCAACTTCTACATACCCTCGTAGTAAATAATAATAATAATAATAATAATAATAATAATACACTCGTGTTTTTAAACTATATTTAGAGTGATTTTTAATCAAATTGAGTGTAGAAACAGTTATATGAAAATTAAATGATGACAAACAAATAACTGAAATTATCATAAAGAAAAAACCAGAATTGTTGTTCTAAAAGACAACTTCAAGAACGCGGCTTCATTCAGTCAAGGTTTCACAATTACGTAAAAAGATGGTTTACTTTGTTTACTTCCACTTCCTTCTTTACTTTTAAACGGACAACATATATAAAATAAGTTTTTGTGAATGTTATTCTCATTTTTAAATTTAAATTAATATATTTTGTTGTAAATTTTCACTTTCATATTAGACATTAGTATTTGGAAAACCATCAAGATTAAACTCACTCTTGATTGAAAAAGAATAGAAGGTACTTATATTTTTATTATTTCTGTCCTTAAAACAGAGGACCAAATATTTTTCGAGAATTTGAATTATATAATATTTAGATATTAAAATCTAGCGAAGATACAAATACAGTATATTTTTAAATTTATTGACATTTATTTGACATCGTAAAATTTTCTACACTAATAATATATGAAATTAAAACAAGTAACATATAGGGATAATTAGGTATGTCCTGTTTTTATTTTCAAATTTGAACTCTAACGTAAGTGTTACGCAAGTATTTTTAATCATATATATATAAAGGTCATATATAATTAAATTAAAAATGAAGGTTATATGTTTATTAATTATTATTTCTCATATACATGAAACATGGCTAAAACACTACTGAGCGCGCATAGCATGGTATAAGTTATGTTTATTGGTAACAATTAACAGAAAGAAATATTCTCTTGAATATTTAAATTATTTATACAATAAATATTAAATGCTTTTGATAAAGTAATTATCTTTTGATGACTTTTTTTATTTCACCCCTGATTATGCAGAAATAAAGGAAATTCTGTTTAAAAGTGCTAAAAATTCATTGACGAAGACATTGTATATTAAATATTTGACTTAACGTCTATTTGTTTTTTATATGGAAACAGTGAGAAGTGAGGAAGGAGAAGTTTTTAGGTATGAATGTATTTAAGTATTAGTTTAGCGTGGGGAAGATAGACATAATGATGGTTGAAATAATGAAGTGAAGAGGAAAAAGGAGCAACAAGTGAGTCAGAGGAGTTGTTGAGTTAATAGATGACGATAATAGGAAACTCTATTTATTAATATTATTTTAATTTTTGGAAAAAACAACAAAATAAAATAAAAAATAGAAAAAATTTGTAGGGTCGTCCTCGGAGGACGTGTAGGTTTGAAGCCGGAGAGAAGCGAGAAAATCGAGGGAGTTGCGAACGAGAAGAGGGGTCCACTCGTTCGCATTTCCTTTTTACCCCTTCCCAATTCCTCGCCGACTTTTCCGTTTTCCTTCACCATATTTTTACTTTTTTTTAAATCCTAATTAATTATAAATACATAAAAGTATTTGTATAAATTATATAATTTCTAAATTTTAAATATTATTGTTTAAGCTGTTTTTACAGGTTAAATACATTTGTGTAATTTAAGAAAGTTTAGTGTATTAGACCCGCTATTATTTTATATTTTTATTACCAAATCAATTAATAACCTTAATTATATAAAAAAGTAAATTTATTTTCATGTTGATATTTTATCTTAAATTTATTGCACAATTTATTCAGGACATGTTCACGTGTATTCATTAGGCATAAAAGTTTATTAATCTCTCTCTTTTATTTCAAGTGTCTAATATTGTTCTGCTGTATATATTGTTTCCTTTTGACAAAGGTTTATTTGGGAAAATAATGATTAATCGAGCTTCTTACTTTTTGTTGGGGGCATAATTTACTTTTTCATAAATTTATTTACACAGTCATCTAAATTTTTCTTACTTTCTCATCTGAAAAGAAGAGATATAAATTTTTATTCACTTTTTCAGTGTAAGTCTAAAAACCTATTAAGTATCTAAAGCTTATATATTTTATCTATGCAATTTGACATGATTTATGTAATTTTGCATAACTCTTCTTTTCATAATTATTACCGGTTAACTAAAGATTGAAAATCCAATACATTTGTTAACTACCCAACCTTATAATCACAAGACAATACTAATTTTCGAATCTTTCAAATTTATTTATCACTTAATTTAAACAATAATATTGTAGCTATTTTGAGTAACAAACAAAACCTGTTTATTGTGTTTATTTATTATTCTACTAGCATGAAGAATATCTCAAAGTAGAGATGAGATCTCTACAGATTTAAGAGAGACATTAAATATATATGTTTTAAATTTTGAAATAATACTAATAATAATAAAAAAAGAGTTCTTCCTCACACTTAACACCCAGTACGATTTAAGAATATAAATTATTGAATTCTTTAAATTGAATGTTTTCTTTTAAAGAATAAACCACACTATATTAGTCAAAATACATTTATTTTAAGTCACTTTCAAACAAACATATTTAAGTTGATTTGGATAAAAGTAAACTTAAAATAATGATACACTACCTACTTTCGCACTGAGAGCCAACAATAGGACATTGTTTTAACAAAATCACAATTTTTAATTAGCTAATTTTGTACAGACATATTGACATATTTTTATGAACTAAAAAATATTAAACGCAAGTTCTCAATCCATATAAAAAAAAAAAAACAATAAAACATTACTTTCACTGGGAATCAAACAACGGGTACAGAAAAGCAAGTAGCTGAATAATTGTTTTTCTTTTATGAAATGAATAGGAAATAGACAGAGTTAAGTAAAGTGGTGCATCCCTGAAATTATTTTGATGAAGCAAGATGACGAAAGACATGAATTTGCTTGAATTAGTTAATAAAAAATGTATGTAAGTGAGGGAGTTTGGTCTGTGGTTTGATGATTCACATGCAAAGTCAACACAAAACAATGTCCTTTTCCAAGTCAAGCCATTCATAAAGTTGTGAGACGTTTGCTTCATCACATCTTCGTAGCTTGGTCGGCTATTTTACGTGTCACTGCTTTACTTTCTGTTTTCTTTTGCTTTACTTTCTTTCTCCCATGGCTGAAATTTGGAAATTTTAGCTCTTCCACCATTTTTCTTCTTGTTACTCCCAAAAAGCTCACAACAATGGTTTTTATACCCCTGCAAGTTGGAACTACACCTTCTAGTGGTAAATTGTATCACAAATTCAAAAAATAAAAATCTGTGGAACTGAGAATTTTGTTCAATTTTTGCATACTTTTTGCTAAAATTTTTATTTGTC